TAATGTAAGGACCGAGCCAATCATGTGCCAACCTGTCACCTTTCCTTCCAATCTTTCTCTCATAATACGACAAAGAACTTCTTGGCCAACTGAAAAATCAAATGACTTACACCTTTTTGATTTTCTAGCTGCATACTGTTTCTTCTGCTTCTCATGTGCCTTCTCTATATTTTTTTAAACATCCTTAAATATACCTTTCATCTTTTTAATATTTTCTTCAACGTCATCTTTGTGTGGTGGTGTTATTGTTGGGAGGGCTGGATTTCCTATCTGGTGCAATTCCTGTTTCTCTTTCAGGGCAAATTCTGAAAAAAGATTAGGAAATTGTCCAAACATGAGATAATATGGGGAATATTTAGTTGATTCTTGGCGACTAGTGTTAATCCCATACACAACTGGCGCTACAAAATTATCTCAATTGTTCTGTTCTGAATTGACTAATTTACTCAATGATCTTTTTACAGTTTGATTCGTTCTCTCATCCTGACCATTCGTTTGAGGGTGATATGCTGAAGTTAGCATATGTTTTATTCCAAATTGTTTTAACATCGAATCATTTAGATAGTTAACAAATTCTTTACCTCGATCACTTATAATTTTTTGTGGTGCACCAAACTGGAAGAATATTCTGCACAGACACTGAAATGTACTCGATGCTGTTTTGTCTTTAATAGGAAAAGCAAACACAAATTTCGTATACAAATCTGTTAAGGTAAACACATATCTATTGCCAGCAGCTGTTTCTGGAAAGGGACCAATCAAATCATGACCAACTGTTTTCCAGGGTCCTGATGTTTTTCATGGTGTTAGTTCAGGGGCTATCGTTTTATTTTTTTCCATTTTTTGGCACTTGTCACAACTACGAATGATATGTTTGTTACCATATCATATGTTTATTATAGTCATATATATAGTCTCTCATAACGTCTTCAAGAAAGTGCTAGGAATGCTTCAATTGAAATAGATAGGCATGTCTCCACCATTATACATTCAACGACACCGAGATACATATATATAGAAAACTTGATATTTCATTTTGCTTCTTATTCTTACATGATATTATATTCAAGGGTATCATATTATATTGTAGCAACGCTGTCGCCGGCCACGCGCCGCTGCCCGCGTAGCCCAGTGAAACGGCAGTTGTAACCAACATCAGTTTACTCTAATTTTATTATCACATTCGTAAGTTTAGTCAAGCAATTACACGGCGCATATATAGCAGTCACCTATAAGCGCACAGTTGTCTGGCAACAGAATTAACCAGCGACTACAATATCTTATTATTCTTATATTATATTATATGATTATATTCTATTGTTATATGACAGTTATATGATATGATAGCTATAGTGTAACGCTTAGTTCTTACTCGACTTAGCTTCTTGTGATCGTATCTGGTTCCGCGTATAAGATCGTTACTAAATGATTGCGTATAGGCATCTACAAATAACGGAAGACTGAGGTACGTATATAAACATACAAACGTCTTTAATAAAACATATAGTCTACTACCGTAGCATCAAACAGTACAGAAAGATACGCGGCAGAAACATAACTTACATATCGAGAAGTGGTGTATGTAGCGGTTCCTCCTGAAATGGACAACGTTGTTTCCAGATCTGTGATTAGGTAGTTGTTCATGGCCTTCACGAGAGTGTTCCCAAACCCATTTTTTACTGAATCAAACTTTTTCTGGGTGATATTAGATCAAACATATACCTGCAGTTTGTGAATTAAGCCATCGGCTTCGCGGCAGCAAAACCAAAAGTGGTTCACTATGTGTTTGATCCACGGCCGCAGTTCTTCGCAGCCAGCCTTCTGAGCGGCCTGAAGTACAATTACATAGTTAGAACGTGAACAACTATAATGTATAGTAGAACCACATAAATTTGTTCTGTATTAAAGCTTTCTCATTGCATATACGCACAATTTGATTATTGAAAACACGTGAAACACACGTGCAAAACATCAATTAGTATGTGCACTCCATTTTAAATCTATAAAACAATATAATCTACCTTATTCAACCGCTTGCCCAAGTTTTTAGCACCGTGCCAAACGTCGTAGGAATGCCTGACCCGGGGGTGGTTCTTTCCTGTGTAATACGCAATAGAATGTCTGTTAGCAATATGGTGATGTCTGCACTATCACACTGT